ACGAGTGGCTTTCCCGCCTTACTTGGGGTGAAATGGTTACAATAGAAGAAGAAGAACGGTCACTCTACGAGTCCTAATGGTAACATGTAACCCAGTAGTACTTACTACAAGGTCAGCCAATCCGTGACTAAAGCGTTTCCTTCACCAGGCTTTTCTGATGAAGCGGTTGTCAAGAGACACGATAGGATTAAAAACGATATCTGTCAAAGAGTGTATAAACTTTCTTGTAGGTTCAATGCTCATCTAGATTAAGGAGTAGACTATGTATGCATCTATAAAAGTGCTTCCCTACCCTAACCCAAAACAACTTGTTGGTTGAATATTTTAGTCCAAAAAACGCACCGTTTTCTCATCATAGAGATCCTCTTCTCCCTTGCATCTGCATGGTAGCCTCAATGAGAGCAATTTGTCTGTTGAAATTGCTTCCATTACGGTTAAAACAATTTGGTTCACTCTGTCTTGATAGACAGTTTCTCTCGCCACAATCTATCTTGCACATTTATAAGTCTACCATGCACATGTGATTGGAATATTTCTTCCAAATCTATTTCGGTGCTTCTGCTATATATCTGGAGATTCTTCAGAAAATACAAAGAATAAATTGCAATACTATCGGACCTGACCATGCAATTCGGTTTCAACCACTTTCCCACCGCCGGAACGTAGCTATCATGTACTTGTCTATAAATATTTGCATGGTAATTGTTCTGAGGTTCTTTCATCTATAGTGCCCGTATTTTATGAATTTAAGCGGAGTACTAGATTAATGGGAATGTCTCATTATTTTACACTTGAAATGGAAATATGCAATATAATGCTAACAATTTCGTCTCTCGCACGCCTTGTTTTTGGAACCCCCTACTTCTTGCTTTCCAATCAACTTTGAGCTTCAAAAATATAAATGCAATGTCAATTGTTATTTTCTGTCTCCTTAATTCCAGTTCTGTTGTTTGTCCTCTCTCCTTAATAATCCTTTTTTCTCATATTCTCTAAACACACCTTCAGTAACTTTCTAATAACCATAGCATAGATTCTCAGTGCATTTTTATATAGATATATCCATGTTGATGTACTGATGAATTTTACCGTCCTGGGTATGACGATAAACTACATCCGCGTCTTGGGTAAGACGATAAACTACGTCCAACAGCAAAGCCTCTGATCAGGAGGTTTTGAGGAGCGTGGAACCAGCACTTAATTGTTGGTGTTCCCAGGTCAACCCCGACCCGAGGTGGTAGCATCTGTTAGGGTCCCAACTATGGACAAATAGTTAACACCCAAACTGGGATCAAAACAGTAAGAAAATGTAAAAATAGGTTTTAATAATAGAAATAGTTTTAAAAAAAAAAAAAAAGGAAATTTATTATCAGCAATACATTTTTTGGAAGAAAAAGATATTACCTGCAATACATTTTTGGAATATATATATATATATATATATATATATATATATATATATATATATATATATAACAATAAAAAAAAATGTCGCCATTATATAACCCTTAACCCATTTTGGTTGATATGCCGTAAAACAAAGCAAAGCAAAGCAAACCTATCTATCTATCTATCTATCTATCTATCTATCTATTGAAAATGATAAATAAATGAGAAAAATATATTACCAGAAATCCATTTTTTAAATAATATTACCAGCTATACATTTTTAAGGAAAAAATATTACCAGAAATAGATTTTTGACAAAACAAAATATTACCAGGAAAAAATTGTCGGCATTAAATTATCCACTGAGGTTGTTATGCCGTAAAACAAAGAAAAGCAAAGCAAACCAAATCTCTTAATCTATGTTTGTATTTTATAATATAATGCTAATAAGAGAGGGGGCGGCGGGGTTATGGATAGAGGCTCGGATTGGGGAATTAGTTGTGTTCGAATTCCAGTCGAATCCATTTACAAGGAGAAAGTTATGAATACTCTTCTCCACCAGCTATCCGTAACTACAGTTCTATAACCCTAAATGGCTACTAGTCTACCGCAGTAAGAAATGGAAACCTACTCCGGGAAAAAAATTACCTCGTCAGTCATGTATCGAAAGATACATGATCGCCTAAGCGTGTATCACGCATGGAACATAACTGACTGACTAATATGTGAATGTTGGATATAGTTAAGTAAAACATCAGCATTATCAATATTATCGTTGGATAAAGGCGTTGCTGAGATCCAGTGACAGGACCCAAAGAGTGTGAGTTCAATACCCGGTTAAGGCAGTGGAGAACTTGGAGAGGGGAATTAACAGGAGATAACTGATAACTGGCATCCATTGAAAAATATGGCACATGAAACTAGAACAGACTACCCCAGTGAGCGAAATAAAGGGTTCAGTTCGACATTCCAACCAACTGAAGAATGCCGGAGCGTACAACGGTCGAAACGTTGTAATAAATATGACGACAAACATGAGGACAATAGTCCGAATAATGTAAATAGTGTAAAATAGTGTAAAACATCAGTTTTATCAAAATCATGTTTATGCTAAATATAACTGTACTTTTTGACTACAGTAAATGGATATATAATTTGGTCAACGGCGGAGCCTGGGCCAGCAATACATATACTACTTTTATATCTTATGTATGATATGACCCCCTTAAAATTAGCTTTAAAATTAGGCCTGCATGTTACGCGAATATATAAGGTAAATTTCTAATCATTTCACATCAACCAAGGAAATAAAGCCATTACGATTCAAGGAATCAATGAGAGCATGTAAGAAAAAGTTGTTTTTATTATATTGCCTGGGGTGAAATTATTACAAAATAATCATTTAGAATCTTATCTATAAGGCATCTATCAAGCTCGTGAAATACATCTATACATCCATTACTGAAATTTAAATTTTAGAAAACAATTTTAGCTTATGACTTTGCACAATTTACCTAGTTTTTATGTGTTATTTATTTAAAGAAGTACATTTGATACTCTTAATGTTCTGCATATTTGCCCGCTGTATGTGCAAAAGCAGCTGCTTCAACTGTATTCTTGTTGCCCAACATATAAATTTAATTCTTTCTTATAGATCTTTTCTCACTGACATACTTAAAGCTCGATTACTTTTCTTACCTTACTTTCCCGCAATTTTCAACGTATCTTACCATCACTCAATAACTTTAAAACATCCCGCTATTTTTGACACTCTTTATTATATATATATATATATATATATATATATATATATATATATATATATATATATATGAAATAAAAAAATAAATATCACTTACTTTGCATATATATTTAGAGTACGAGGAATGACTCCCGAGTTGCATTTAAAAATCTTCCCCCCCCAAATAAGACTTTGTCAAATATTTCTAATAAAACAGGCATCAGAAGTTGAAATACACATGATATATGTATCAATATAGGTATGTATTCTATACTTTTCCTCAGCAGAATTCGGTTAATACCTATTTTACAGGGAAGACTTTGACTTGCAAAATAAAATCTCTATATAACATCAATAAAACACTTATGTCAAAACGGTGAGATCACTAATGGGATTTAAGCAGATACTAAATATTTGTATAAATATGCCAAAACTAAAGGCTAAATATCTTTACGCTTTTGGAAAATGATATCGACCCACTCATAGATAACAGTCTACCCTGTTTTCTAATCTTGGAGGACACATAAATTGTGGTTTAATATATCACGCTCACCGTTAGAGGTTCAATCTAATTGCTGTCTAGAATTCTCAAGTTAGTTTCCACGTTATGACATTCTATTTTTTTTCAAAATATCTGCAATACTCGAGAGGTTTATCACTTCGTCTAAGCGAATTTATCTGTGATTTGGCGCCACAACAAATGTATTAGGTTGAGCCATAACTAATTTCCGTTTTGTGGTAGTAATTGAATTGACGAATTACTAACCATTTTTCTCCTTCTCTAAGCTGTGTCCCCTCAAGACGTTGGCGATTATGGCTACATAATTTCCTGTCCCTAGCAAATCTTAATAACTTTTTTCCATCTCTACCATACCCTGCACCACCATCCATTCACTCTTGTTCGCCAGATAGGTTCTGACAATTAAGATATTTGCAGATAGGATAGCCCAGCTATTTTCACCCTCATTTTACCATATTCTACATCAAAGAAGCAGATTCTACTCAGCAGACTGTTCTAAAAAATGATATTTGCGACACTCCCTATGGATGCTTCGCAGAACGTTCAATCGTTATCAATCTTTATGCCCATAATCTTAATTTCCACCAACATCACTTTCGTATCCCGCACATCATTCATCATAACCCTTCTTACAGTATTCATCTACATTGATTGGCTCTCGAGCCTTATATTAACGGAACTTTGGTCTAAAACTATCTGTGAAGAACGGTTCAGCTTTTTGACTCAGAACCGATCGAACAGAACTAAAATGCATCCATATTTCCACGTAATCTGCAAAGTAGTCAGGTTTTTCTTTTTATTTTGTTAAACCATTTCGCTGATCCATGCAAAAATTAGTCCAATACTCTACTCATTGTTCGTCTTCCTAAAGCTTGGTTGCAGCCATCGAGGTTAAAGCAGATGCCCAAATTCTGCAAGGTAGAACACTTAATTTGCATGGATATAGCAAATGACCTCCAAATCAGTGTCACCCATGTCTAGGGGAAAAGGCCAACAAGTTAGATCCCATACATCACATGTCCGAGATTGTAGGAACGATATTTGAATCTCATGACCTGTTCAGCATGCGTTCCTCGACAAAACACTGTACATCATAATGGCCGTGAGAAGAGCACAGAATGTCAATAGACTACAGCTTCACACTTCTGTTTGTAATGGTCCGACCATTCTTCATTATAAGATCGATAGGCAGTAGAGCCGGAAAAAGAATTGGCACCAAGGAAAGTCTTGTCATCCTTAAAGATTTTTATAGATGCTGCGTCGACGGATGACAGCTATCTACAGAGAAACAGGATGATGTTTAACACACTATAAAATTCCATGCATGATTGTGAATTAATTCGAAAGCCCCGAATGCAACGCTTCGGCCATGATTGGAAATGTCTTTCAATTCTCTCTACGAATAAATTGCCAGAAAATCGCTCATTTTATTTGCTGTCAAGAACGGCAGTATGGACAGAAGATTGGAAGCTGTGAGTTCAAATCCCCTTTGAACAAAAGAATATATTTTGATCTATGTTAAAAAAGTACTGACTGAAGTCAATTTAACGAAAAGCTATCACTAGTATAATTAATTATACATTTTCTCTTTAATTATTATCTAAAATATAATTGCATTATTTTCTTAATATACAATATAAATGATATATTTTGGGGTCAAGCAATACCAAATATTACTTAAACCCAAATATTATATATTATGGAGTCAGCTAATTTATAAGTAATACTAGTCTACTCGTGCCGTCAAAAATGACGGCATCATTAGGAAGTTTTAATAGTGCCATTCAATGAAATAAATTCTTGAGACAATGTCTTGAGATTCAATAAAATGGAGATAAAGGATTCACATTTAAAATAGAGGCCAATGAACCATTTAATTAATCCGTTCCTTTTCTATGTTTTCAGACGTTAAATGGTATCTATGATTGATTGATTACTCCCAGTATTATATAAATCACATTTTGCTCAATATATATATATATATATATATATATATATATATATATATATATATATATATATATATATATATATAATTCTATATATTATATTTATTATAAAATTTAAATGGAAATATCTCTCGGAAGAAAAGAATTAACAACAGAATGACAAAGACAGCGATGACAAAGCATATGTCAAGACCATGTTGAAGCAAGACGATCACTTAATAGACAAATGTACCTGGCTGCCTCGCATAAAAGACTTAAACATATCAGACATCAATCACAGAAACGGAGGAGTAAAGGAACTAATAAATTAAGCGGTTTATTTTGCCCAGGTACTAATTTCGTCTAAATGCAGATAAACCTTTTATTTGCACAGACTATTATAACGATTAAGGGAAGTAATCTCTCATAAATTTACTAACATAAGTTGATTTACCTCCCTTCACACTAAAGATGGGACAGGAAATATATAAATAAATACACACTGATAATTATTATATAGTTTGTTGACAGAATGGTGATGTGCAGACGGTGAATGAATATTGGAACACAAATTCAAATCAGAGATCCGAGTTAAAAATATGCCAGATTCATAGATAAATAATTAATCTGTTACTCTCTCTCTCTGTAACTCTCACTAATAATATTTTTTCTTTTTCTTATATTCTTTTACATTCAGTAAACCTCCTTGCGCCTTGGTGGCTTTATTGCCTTGCTTGGGGTCAAAAAATGAAAATGGAAATTATTCTCACTATAAAAACACATTACTCAGCATTTCCCCTTTTTTTTTCATTATATTTCGAATAGTTACTATTTCTAGAGAATTTATTTTTCTTTCAAAATATTTGAAAGGCATTTAATAAAATTTTAATTGTTCCAATGATTTAAAATGCAGTTTTCATATATCAATGTTTCTCAATGCATCGGTCAAAGGCAGGACACATTTCTATTTTACTCATTTTCTTTTTAACTTCAGTCAGTGTGATCAATTATAAAAGGCGATTAAAATTAGTTCTATTTATCTTGCCTACGGGAATATCAGATTTTTCATTGCTTTCTCAATAGACGTGCTAGTCTTATAATGAAATGATCATGTTTTTATGTAAATCTATTAAAATATTTTGCACAGTTCCAAGCTAACGAGTGTTCCTCCTAAAATAATTTTACTGCATATTTTTCTTTCTTTCTTTCTTTCTTTTTCTTTCTTTCTTTCTTTCTTTCTTTCTTTTTTCTTTCTTTCTTTCTTTCTTTCTTTCTTTCTTTCTAAATCATTTCATTTTTCGCTTTTTTTCTTTCTTTTTTCTTTCTTTCTACATTTTTTATTCCTTTCTTTCTTTCTAAATCATTTCATTTTTCGCTTTCTTTCTTTATTTTTTCTGTCTTTCTATATTGTTTCTTCCTTCTTTCCTTCATTCTTTCTTTCTTATTTTTTTCGAAGTCATATCTTTCTTTTGCTTTCTTATGAAATCTCTTCTTCGTTTCCTCTCTTTCTTTTTTTCATTCATTCATTCTTTCTTTCTCTCTTTGTAAATCACTTCATTTTCCCCTTTCTTTCTTTCTTTCTTTCTTTCTTTCGTTCTTTCTTTCCTTCTTTCTTTAAAAACCATGTCGACAAAAGTCAGAGAAAAAACTCTGAGATAGCTGCATTCTTTTAGGAGTTACCTGAACAATATTAAGCTTCGTTATCATTATTTGAGAATCGTTATGGTATAAAATAAACATTCTTCCTTATTTAGGATGAATGGTATCATAACCGTCGATAATAATGTGTGGCATTTATCGATTTTTTCGCTAGATTTCTTACGAAATCTCTTCTTCACTTGCCCCCTTTCTTTCTCTCTTTCTTTCTTTCTCTCTTTCTTTCTTTCTTTCTTTCTTTTTTTTTCTAAATCACTTTGCTTTCTTTTGTTCTTTCATTCTACATAACTTCTTTCTTTTGAAATAACTTTATTTTTTTACGCTAACTTTCTTTTCTGCGTTTCTTTCATAAGGCGAGAATTTTGAGGGATACATTTGTATTAACACTGAAATTACTCATGGTCTAATCATCATTATTATTGATTGAAATTTTAACTATTATTATATTTGGTAACTTTGACGATATTGTAGTAGATGCTTCGGTGATAAATATTCCCCTCTTTTTGCTTAAATTTATTTATTTTTCTTTCTCTGAATAAAATATAATCTTAAGACTGAAATATTGGTAATAAGACAGGCATAAAGAGCACGTTTAAAATGAACATCACTTGAAAGAAATAACAGTATTGTCTGTCTTCACGGTGTGTTCGAGTGACAGTGTTCGACGGAAAAAGAAACAAGCGATAGATTTAGTTTTACAAACTTCACTTGATCCGAATTTGATGAGGCCAAAGACTGCAAAGTCTAGGAAATATCTTGTCCGAAGGTGGTAATTCTGTAACTATTATACAATGTTTAAAACTTCTGCGAGGAAGGAAAAAAAAAGACAGAACAATAGGAAAGGAAGTAAAATAAATAAAGAGACAAAGTGGTAAAGAAATATAAAGAAAGAAAAAAAAACAATTAATAAAAAAACAAAAATATCAAATAAAATAAACCCAAAATAAGGGAAAAGATAGGAAAGAGAGAATAAGAAGACGAAAAAAAAAAGAAGAAATCTGTGGAATAAAAAGAATAAAAATGCTGGAGGAAAATGAAAGAGAGTCATGTAAAAAATGGAAAAAATGATGAGAGTTTGAAATTTACAGAAGAAAGTTAAACAAAAGAGGATGGAATATCAGAAGGAAGAACACGTAAATATTAAAACTATTGAAGAATAGTATTATGAAATAAATTCTTCAAGAAAATGTGCCAAGAATAATAACGAAGCACGATGTATGGAAAATATAGAACGTAAAGCCAAAAAGAATGACTCAAAGATTTCCAAGGGAAAAGAAACAAAGAAAACAAAATTACACACACACACACACAAAAAAAAAAAAATGTCGGAAAACTTTAAGAAAAGAACGAACAAAAATTTGTTTGCAAAGCAGTTCACCTAATTACTGGCCAGGGGCCGATGGTTGGATGAAATAACTTTAATTACAAGGTCGCTTGCTAGTCTCACACATGAATGATGATTGTATGTACAAAGCATTGATCCCCTTGTTCATGAGAAGCGATTTAGTTGAGCGGGAGAATCACACAACAGACCAACGCAAATCACGCAAGTTGAGAGTGCGACAGCCGCCAGCTACTGATATGCCCAATACAGCTGTGCTAGCGACAATAAACACGGCTTTGGTAACACGGCTGGGCAGAGGAAATCGGAACTGTTTGTAATTAAATTGGATAAAAGTTGAAAAAATAATAGATGAAAAGAAATACTTTAGTGCAAAAATAAACAAATATTGCCGACAGCAAAGTCAAAAGAAGGAAAAAAAAAATGGTAAAAAGAATTGCAAGGACGCTGTTGATATCAAGGTTTTGGCGGGAAGAGAAAACTTGTGGTACAGTATTCTGTATGTGTATACACGAAAAAACAAAAAGACACCGCGTCTATGAAAAAAAATAAGAACATAATATAAAAAAATTATCAATAGATTCTACAAAATCCTCTCACGTATAAAACTGAATAAAGAAGAAAAAAAATTAAAATAGATAGAAAGCGTAGTAACAGAATCGATTCCTGACTAAGGAATTTATTATCTAATTTGAATTTTAACTTTTGTAAACTGAAATATATTGTAGGTACGTTGTCAAAGTTAACAAAGAAAATCGCGAAAAAACGAGGTTTTATATGAGGAAATAAAATTGCCTAAATAAAGCGGTTTAATTTAGAAAATCTGAACGAAATATCCGAAAGGTTAAAGACAATGTTCAGCCACCACATCTGTTAAATATGGAATGATCAACCTCTCAGCTTTTCTGAAATATACATTAAATCCTTAAGTCTTTTCGTGTTGTTAGTTTAGAATCTACTCTATATGAAAATATGACACTATCTTATAATTCTACTTGTCACTCACTTTCTTCCTTATACGTTACACCCAGCGTGGAAAGATGGAAAAGACATATAAGAAAAGCGACTTGTTTTCAGTGAGAAAAAACAAATAAAGAAAGATAGAATGTTACTTAGTTAGCAAGACCGTGATATCCTGCCCAAACCTAATTAATAATGGACTATATCATTTTGATCGCGCGGAAAGACGGTAAAATCATTTCAGCGACGCTACTTTCTTTCAGATGGCAAAAGAAATATGACTTTAGCTTCTCAAGGTCAACTTCTCATGAAGGTGTTGCTGTTCATGATAACGCTCGTCTTTAAGTATAGGATCCAGAGGTTAGCAGTAAATATTTCGAAGACAATAGGGAAGCGTACTTCAGGTTAGCAGTGGATATCTCGGTAAAGTAGCAGAGCGTAGTTTAGTAGTTCTTCCTTCTGTTCTTTCGCCTGACAAGTTAGCACTGGATATTCGGAGAGAGCAAACAAAATGGCCGCCTTTATACACGACGGATTGAATATTTTTCGACTTCTGATTGGTTAACCTTCTATTGGTGGTCTATAAAGTTAGTCAAGTCATTTGGGCTACCTCATTAGTAAACATATATACACAAAAAAAACTGCAACAGGTGTACATCAAGCTTTAGATAAGAATGGTGAAATCCGGGCTGTTGCTTTGCATATCTATTTTGGCATATTGATATTCTTCACAAGTTGAACGGCTATGATACGTCTGGGAGAATTTTTAAACCGATTATTTTTTTTATCCAATCAGGAAGTGTAAGTTATCTTTAACAGCTACTCTTAAAAATATTACTGTATTAATGCGGGAGTCCCCCATGGTTGAATTCTTGGCTTCACATTGGACCCACATTGTACCTAATTTTCATCAACGACCTTCCTGTCATCAGTTCTCTACCTTGTATCTATGCTGATGATAAAACCGTTTATTCATGTCTTCATAGTAAGACTGCGCAGTTCGATGAGGTCAAATCGAAAGCTGATCTGAAAATGTAGTATGCCAAATTAATGTATAAATTCATGTATAAATTCATGTAGTATGCCAAACAATTTGTCACTCTTCAAAATAAATGATTCTTTTGTATTTCTCCTGTTTTCTCTTTTGCTTTATGTTATACTAATGAACATTTCCATAATTCTACGCTTTTTATTTATTACTGGTGATGTAAACAATGCATTTTGTTTCGTCTACTGTTCTCTAAGATTAGGGTAGATGCCATGCATACTGTGTTATATGTTTATAATTGTGTTTGCGTAAAAACACACCGAATCTCAAAATGTCTCTCAATGTGGCTGCTTCTAAGACAAGTTTTTATTCAGTGCCTACAAACTGCTAAAGTTAGTTGTTGCATTTATTATACTTTTGATTTTTATTGTCATTCTTAGTGTGAAATTAAAATAAAATGAATGATGTGTAAGTTTTATGATATCTAATCAATAAAAAAAAAATCAAATTTAACAAAAACTATGAAAACTAACAATAAGAACTTTTTATATTCTTCAAAGTGACTCTGGTAAAATAGTGAATGTTTTTTTTTACAAGAAAAGAAATAATTTACGAATATTTGACAAAAGTCTTATTAATAAAAACGCAATATTATGAAAGAATAATAAAGATAAAACATACGTTTATTAAATAAAAGAATACATCTTATTATGTTCTTGAAGAGTCATAAAATATAAATTAATTAAAAATATCCCACATTTCACATGGTTCATTGAAGAATTCAGATTGACAGACAATAAGATTTTCCCCCTTGTCTTTTGAAACACTGAAGTGGAATAAATGCTGCATCAAACGGAAAATTCTTAGGAAGTTCTTGGTCAGATTTTATGATCTGATCATGAATACTTTAATATGATGGTGAGTTAAATACCTTAGTCGTTGTAGGCTTTGAAAGTTTTTTTTTAAGAATATGCCATAAAACTCACAATAACATTTTTTTTTCAATTTAAAATCTAAAAGACTAACCAATAGTATAAGTGAAAAATGAAGGGTTCCTTCTGATTGAATCTCAGCCAGAACTAAGGACTATTTGTAAATATATTTTACCATATTCGTCATTCCATGATGAAATATCAAAATCAAATTAAATTATGCTATCTTTAAAAAATAACTAAAGATTTTTTAAGGCAAACGCGTATTAAAATGTTTCTATTAGGCCCAGATAAATACAATACTACAAGGAATATATGATGCAATAAATGATAAAAAGTCTAAAGTTAAGCTACTTTGCGAAACAGGTTCCTGTATGGATCCTCCAGAAATCACTACTTTCTTAAACTCTTCAAGTATAGGATTAATCTTCATCATTCCTTCATATCATATACTGCACATCTTATCTATTTGTTTAAACAACAACTTCATTCAGTAAACAGGAAATGTATTGCTTCACTGTCTTATCAGTAATTCTCTCACTTATTCATATCTGGAAAACACGATGAGGGTTTGAGATCGCAGATTTCGCCAAGTTAGCCATGGCTGTTATGGTAACTAATTCGATTTTACTGTATGTTAACTCCATACCCAACCTCTTTCTCCTTCTTAACTCTGGCTAAAGATTCTAGTCTTTATTTAATCCATAGCTGGGGGAAGAAGATACCTTTCATACCTTTTATAAGACTATTTACGCCTAAGTGAATCCAATGATCTCGACTGGAAAACGAACTTGGCTCCCGCATTTCTCATTTGCTAGTTATTACACCATACAAAGTATTTATATATTGGAACATAAGACCTATTGTGCCCTGAGATCTGTCTAAAATTATCAGTGAACCTCAAACAAATGATCAACAATCACTAATATTTCTAAAAAAAAAAGAAGTAAGCTTGTTACATTTATTTGCCAGAAGCCGGCTCAGAAATTTTACTAAGTTGAATCAATAATATTCTGGAGGAAACACAGATTGGAGAGCACTCAGGTATTTGTAAAAAGCCACTCAAATTGTACAGCTGATTTGTTCTCATCTAAAGATCGGTAAATTACCAACAGAAAAGGTTCCGTTTGTTTTCCGTACTCAGAATAAGATATGAATGATTTATGCAGTACCATGTGATCTGATTTCTACCCAATGAAAAGTTCAAATCAATTTAAAGACAAACATCAGATTTAAATTCAAATTCGGTATCACTTCAAACTAAGATTTTAGATTAACCCAAGTTTTCGATGGCTTAATATATTATGATATTCCTTTAAAAAATATTGAGGTAATCCTATAAGCACACACTCAAACATACACAAATACACACCACGCATTGGTCGATGAAGTTTTTTGATGACCTAGGTCTTGATATTTAACCATAAGTTGTTTCCCATAGTGTAAGATGATATACAGATCGTAGCTGACTTCTCCAACAATAGCCACTAAACTGTGCTCGTCTTTCCCGTGTTGTGTCTGAAAGAGTTATTCTTTTGATATGTAGTTTCCAGCTGAAAATTAGTGCTTATCTCAATATAAAACTATACATACAATCTATATTTTACCAGTGATTATATATATATATATATATATATATATATATATATATATATATATATATAGAGAGAGAGAGAGAGAGAGAGAGAGAGACAGAGAGAGACATAGAGAGAGAGAGAGAGGAAGAGTCTACATGTGCTTCTTGTATTGTAGGTTGGTTAATAAAACAAGAGAAACGAAAGAGTATCAATGTGATCAGTGCGAAAAAAATATATGTATTAATTGTTTGTCACAAGACAGAAATGAAGCACGGAGATTAATGTTATTAGTCCGGAAGTTTCGAGCACGCCTTTGTCCTTCATCAGCGTTGCGAGAAATAAACAGAGAAATGGGGAAGACTCACCAACGGTGATTCTTTTGGGGGCTGGGGTGAACACGTTGTAGATGGTCTTATTAGTACAAATCCGATCCCTGGTTGATTCAACGCATTTGTCGGTTTTGTCTTTATCGATGTGGAAGATGGAGGAATGAGATTTTGAACTAGGGGAAGAGGCTTTAGGATTTGAGGTTGTTGAGACATCCCATATGTGGTCAGTGTTGATAGATTTGACTAGATGGGTAGAGAGTGAGAAGGCAAGGGGGTAATAAAAATAAAATGAAAGGGGGAAAAAAGAGGATAGGAACCGCAAAAAAGGATGAACTATTTTGATAAAAATTCTTTTGAAAAACTATAACCAGAATATATATATATATATATATAATATTGGGCATAATTTCCTGGTGTTAATAAAATAGGGCTTGATGTAATATAACATGATTACTAAGTTTATATTAATAAATATATATCACTACCGGCGAGGTATAATATCTATCTATCTATCTATCTATCTATCTATCTGTATATATATATATATATATATATATATATATATATATATATATATAAATAACAGAGTGGACACAGAGGTAAACGCCATATGGCGACAGTCTGTTTCAGGCTTAGACGCAATGCTCATGTCTGAAGATTACGTTCAACCCCACGTTTAAGGAGAATGATTGTTGGCTAGTGTGGCCAGCTATTAGTAGGACATAGGGATCGTCTGAACTAACGATGCTATAAACCAGCATAATTATGAAAGCACTAGATAGACCCCTGAAAACTCCACGGTTTTCGTATTTAAATTTTCTGGTTATTCTTAATTCCTAAGTTAATGATTGAATAGGCTCATGGTGAGTTCTATAACAATAAAAGATCCGTAGAAATTTCCCCATGGCATCTTTAAATATTTGAGCTTTAACAAATTTGTAGTAGCAAATATATATGAATATATTTAGAAGTGGGTGGAAATTAAATGATTTAGAATTGATAACATTTTACATTTCCTTGAAACGGCCGGTGAACTCTTTTAGTTTCCATTCCTTCCTTTCTTCTTTCCTTAATTCTTTCTTTTTTTCTTTCTTTCTTTCTTTCTTTCTTTCTTTCTTTCTTTCTTTCATTTTCTCAAACAAGTGAAGTAGTGTATTTTCCCCTTTTTTACGGGATCAATACAGAATAGTCCATTATGAAATTTATTGGCAGGAGACGTTAAGCATCTGAAATGAACCTGCGTTCACAATTAATGACTGTAAAATAGTCATTATATATATATATATATATATATATATATATATATATATATATATATATATATATATGTATACTGGGAGAGACAGCAAAATTGTCCAAATCGTGTAACAGAAAAATTGTCCAATTGTTAGATTACGATCTGAACCTTTGTATCTTAATGATTAAAGATATCTTACTGGAATTCTCCGAAGTTTTTAAAACTCTGTTGGACCCTACTTTGAGCAAATTAATAGTGTATAATTTCTCTCCAACCTTGTAATGGCTTAAAAGGAGGACGACGAAATGCATTTTACGAGGAATAGTAGGACAGATAACGGTTGACTCCAGAGAATGGGTTGACGCCATGAACGTGGCACGGAGGCTCCTAACTGTGAATGTCTGAACTTGCAGAACTAATGAACAAAGCTGGTATGAAGATTTTTCATTGAAATAGCGACAGAATAGCGAGTGACTAGTAACGTTTTCTCTGTGGTAAAGGGGTCACAGGGTGAAAATGAATAATCACCCACATGGCCATGTATTCGCTTTTGAACTCTGTCAAATATTGATAGTGAGGATTAGGCAGCACCAACCTAAATATGACAGCAATACTCATTTCTTCTTCTGATCTGAATTTTGTAAAATCATAGTATGGGAGAATGACACTAATCTGTCTTCTAGTATCTTTAGCAATAGTAAAAGTATAATAGCTCCAATTGAGGTCAGGAGTGAACTTTCGTCCCAACGGACGTTCGTAGTAAGGAATCTAATGGAGAGTACAACTGGTCATTAAGTGTGGAGTAAATTTAGAGTGTTCTCGATGGTAATGAAACGTTACTAGCTTAGTACGTTCTTTATTACGGTGGAGTAATGGATAGCGGCTCGGATTGAAGAATCGGAGAGCCGAGTTCGAATTCCTGTCTGAACCGTTACATTCACTTACACTTATTAAATGTGCGGCACAAAAAATATATATATATATATCCAAAGTAAAAATTCAAGAAAGGAGAAATATGATTCTATACTTTGCTTTTATTGGGTTGTCATAATTGATTCTGTTCAAAAAGCTCTTCGACTGACAGCCAAACATGGATATGAACGCCTTGAATGCCATCAATAACGACAATAAATAAACATAGGCAAATCGTATCTTGTATTAATTTGAAAGGCGTATTCTGATTTTTGTAAATAGTGGTGTCTGTCTGATGCATTGGTGCAGGACAAATAGAAGACACACTTTCAGTAAAAGGACAAATGCTGAGTATAATCGATTATACAAAAATCAATCCACCATGAAGGGCTCCCTTATCGATCATTCCATTCAGGTGATACATAGATAGATAAATAAATAGATAGATAGATAGATAGATAGATAGATAGATAGAAGCACATAAGTGCTAATGCATTTGGGTAAGGTATACGCCTTCTTCTTTTCCCTCCAGCTATTGCTAAATATCAGGACAGACTGGGCTCTATAGCCTTAGGTACCAACCGGTCTAGGAGAAAGTAACTTTGAATTCAAAACTGTATATAACACTGGCGGAGGCCATACTGTACAGCTCAAGAAATGATAGTTCGCATTGGCTCAATGATTCAGACTACGGTCGAATGATGATGAGGGATCCTAAAAGCCAATCAATTAAACGCCATTAGATCTTACGTGCTTTCTCGGTTACAGAGAACTTATGGCCAAGCAACAGCACTATTCGGTTTTCTCTAGTGCAAAGCAAGTTCGAATCCCGCCGGAGAGCGCATATTTTTCTAATAAGATTTCTCGAATATTCAGTTCGGTAGATAAAAATAAATAAATATATTGTTTAATAGATAAACGGAACATCTACTAAAATATGGGTATTTACTAATAAAAATAAGTAATAATAATATATCGAATTAATAAATGTATAATCCATCCCTAAAATTTAATATATATATATATATATATATATATATATATATATATATATTACTGCGCTTAAGGTTTTTTACTTGATTGTTCTTGTATTCGTATAATTTTGTATTATTCTGAGCATAAAATATATAGAAATTGTCCAAATGTTTTGTATGTCCGAGCGCTTTCGGCTATACTTTTAGCCATTATCAAAGAGGATCATATATTTACATTAAACTGAATGTATGGATTGCTTTATATATGATTTATATAAATGTTTTATTTCCAAAGAACGGTCGTCAGATTGTCGTGGTGTTATATATTCTTTATATATTATATATGCGAGGTACTTATTGGAAAGCCCTCAATATCAGTTTTAGAGCTAACATATTTAGTTAGATTGACGTGAGATTGTGTCCTGAGTTTCACGCACTCTGAGATCGTCAGACAAACTGATTAAGTTTTAAATTTGGGATTTATTTATGGTTGTGTATATCGGTGTTTTATGTGAGGAAAAAT